TGTGTGTGTGTGTTTGCATTGCATCATGTGTGTACGTGCGTGCATGCGTTTGTGTGTGAGAGAAAGCGTGCGTTCGTGCGCGTACGTGTGAATCTGTGCATGCAAACTCTAAGGTTTTTTGCGTATGCGTGCGTATGCGCCCGTGCGTGAGCTCTAACGAATGCGGCAATACATTTGAGAAACGTATTTCTTAGAATTTTGTTACAAAAACACCGTTCAGCCCCACACTGGAGACTGGCTCTAATTGGTCGGTGTACCGCTACTGGCCGGTAGCTATCATCAATTGATGACAAAAATGAGCGACTGATACGCTATTAGTGGGTGATACCGGTACATTCAATATCATTATCCCCATCACCCCCGCAACGCGTGGGTTGCTGTGCGGAGTCGGCGATTGCATGACGCTGACATTTATGCGACATTTGATAGGGACAATTATACATATATGCTATGTTATAGTGGGTGGCGGTTCCGGTGGGCAATAAAAGATGAATCGCACGTGACGACGCCCCCGAGTATCATGTGTGTGAAAGCAACGCACATCAGCGTGCGCAAATGGCAGGAGAAATACTCTACTGTTTCATCCTAAAGCACATCCCCACAGTGCAAGCTTCGCTACCTACAGATTAAGCTTAAAATTTTGCCCTACAAGGTCAGTCCAATGCGCCAGTAGTACAGCTCAGTCCTACGGTTCAGTGCTATACATATTCAGTCATACAGTTCGGCCCGACAGTTCACAGCTGTGTAATTCAATCACACAGTGTTGTGTTCGTTTCTAGTTCAGCTCTGTAGTTTTCGCTTCTTGTTCAGCTCTACAGTTTGCTCAGTTACTCGAGAGCTGCTTTAAAAAACATCATCTGTGTCGCTGATACGGGGGAAAGTGAACGTATGCGAACACACAAGGTGGCGCGTCCGTCGCTATTGTTCTGCACGTCCTTTCACTGCAGCGAAGACAAAAGTGCGCACAGAACGAGGCTGCTACTCGACTGATACCTTTCCGTGCACGTGCGCTGTTTACAATGAGCGCATTGTTTTCAACGACTACGTATACAAAATCGAAACAAAACCGGCCACTATATGCGCAAAGGTGCCACTGCTGCTGCTGCTGCTGCTGCTACACGTCAACGGTAGATTAATATGCCGAAGAATTCGAGGTGACGGGGATTATAACGGTACATGAACTAGAAAGACGGCATAAATAGACAACATATAACACGTCCACCTGCAGCCGGTACTATGCTGCGTTATGATTCTTCACCCCTTCATCATACAGTTCCGCCGAGCCCAATTACTTTTCTCCGGGCGGCGGCTGCATGTATCATAGAAGAAGTGAGACGTCATTATCGCAGTATGGTTCCACGGCCAAAAATAACATTAAAGTCGTCACGGTGATCCATGAACAGCTACTTCGCTCGTCGATTCATTGGTAATCAAACACACTCGTAAGAGATTATTGTGATATAATAGGTCATAAAGGTATTAACATGAAAACTAGGATTTTGCAATTATATAGGATGAAACGAGGCAAATTGTCGTGGAAGATATTGTGCAGTCACGATAATTTAAAACGAGTCACGAACATTTAACGATATAAATGTTCGCATAACTGTTCGGCTTCAAATGATTTAACTGAAAATGTTACACAACATGAGTTTGGAATACTGCGGTACTGCGGAGAGCAGATTTAGAGTAAAGGCCTTTGACCTCGTTTAGACATCAGACAAATTAATTAAAAAATGGGTACGTACTTGCTGCACACATGTGGAATAGTAACGTATCATTACAATAGGTTAATTTATATTACGAGCGCCTATGGTGTCTTCTGATAATACACCCAGGCAGCAGCTGTCATGGTGGTTAGGCGTGACGCTTCTAGTATCCAGGGTGTGCGTTAATAGAGCAATACAAGAGGAAACAGCACGCAAACCGCGTGTCGCAGTTGCATTCGTGCGCCTTTGCCAGGCGTCGCGTGCGGTTTACGTGAATAGTTCGTCGAGTGGACCGAAGCACCGACTCGTTAGTTAGTGATTGCGCATAACCACGTATATCACCGAACAGCAGCGAGGCCCAATGCATCTTCAGTTGATTGCACCTTCTCAATCGGTTTGGAGGAGCGCGCCACCAAGCGGCGTACGCATTTGTCGTTATTTGCTAATTGGCCGCCGACGACAACAAATTGGCATGTGAGTGCGTAAAGATGGACAGTTTTCGCAAAATGTCGCGAATATGGGTTGCGCGCTGGCATCACCATGTTTGTTTCACGCTGCGACCTATTGTATCGTTACGGCTTTCAAAGCGAAGCTTTTTTGCGCGATCTGCGTCATAGCTTACCACTCGCGCGTTATTATTACTACGTTATTATTTAAATTTACGTTCTTTTTTAATCGCACTTCTATTAATTGATGTAACCATTACTATACTTATTGCACTGCTATTTCATATTCTGTTATGGTAGCATAATGTGATGCTAATTCATGATATTGATAGCCTCACTGATCGTGTTACGGTTATGGTACGTTATGGTGCGGGTGCGGTACGCGTAAAGTGCGTTTCGTTATTTTCACCCTTGCAATCACAGGCACTTGAAGCATTTCAACTGTAAACACACGCCGCCGCCATTGCGCGCACACTGACACATAAATATATTATAAATATAAAAATATAAAATAAATATACA